GAAAGGAAATTACGCCCCCGCCGCCGAGGAGAAATGCCACTGCATCCCATGCAAACCCCCAGCCCTTGACAGGTCCCTGAGTCCTCTTGGGTCCTTACTCACGTGCCACAGTTTGAACTCGCGCATGGTCCACTCCTCGGAGCTGCTCTGCATCAGCAGGTGGACCCGAACCTGCCCATAGGAGACCGGGGCAGATTCGGACGGCCAGTAGTGATCACAGAGGACCTAGAGCACAGGCAGGACAGGGTCCCAGTGAGGCCGGTGAGGGCTGGGGTCCCACTGGGGGACCTCCTGGCTCCCTGGGAGCATTTGGAGAGCAGCAGCTGTGCGGGGAGCCAGGGCAGGTCTTGGGGAGCAGGCAGGGGTGCGTCCCCTTCCCGTCAGGAGCTTTGCATGGCTCTCCCCCAGCTCCCTTTTGTTTGGATCTCAGCCTGCTCCAGAGAAAAGGACCTGTGTGGGTCTCATCATCCCTGGAAACTGAAGGAACAGTCCATGTGAGGTGCCTCATTCAGAGGCAAGTGGTAACTTCAGATGCCGCTGAAATATCTGAGGGTGATGGACATGGTTCCAGCTAAGCTCCACTTCTGCCCCTTCCTACCCCAAGCTAATGCTGAGATGCAGACATGAGGCTCTGTTCCCCCCAAACTGCCTGTGAGGGAAGCTGTGTGGCCTGCGCTCACCCTGGAGCCACACCCGAGCCAGGGTTGACTCAGCTCACACGACCAGGTCTGGGCTTGGTTGAGACTGGCGTGTGGAAGCCCAGCGGTGCCGACCTACCCGCCCGTTCTCCATGCACACTGTCAACATGATGATGTTGTAGACATTTTGCTCCCACACTAGCCTCCAGAAGTCCTCTATTGTTTTCTTCAGGGGCCCCTGGGTGGCAATGAACTCCTGCTGGGATGTATAGCCCTGAGCAAGAGGCAGAAAGGAAGAGTTGGCAAGTTGCGGAGGAAGGTGCATCCTGCCCTGGGACAGAGTCAGTGTCTGGTCTGCTTTTGTGGTAGAGGGAGAAACGCTCGCTGCCCTTAGCCCATGTGGAAGCAGTTCCCAGGCAGCTGATCTCAGAAGCAGCTGGTTGCACAGGAAGCACGTGCTGCCCGGCATGTACTCTCTATATATTTGGAATGAAGATGTAACCCCTGCTATTTCCCTCCAAGCAGTTCATTGTTCACCCTAAAGAGTGACAGACAGATCTGGGTCTTTCTTGTGCTCCCCAGGCATTGCTGAAGGTAAGGTGAGCATGCAAGGTCCCAGGATGCTTTTTTTCCTCGGCCTCTTTGACACACACATGCCCCGCGGATCCACACACCCACACGTGCATGCTGTGTGCCCTGCTTGTTACCTGGGAAAATCTCCCGGATGGGGGATGTGGGTACAGCTCCAGGGTTGTTCAAATGTAGCTGCACAGACCAGAAGAAAGAGCAGGCAGACAGACAGGGCAGTAAGCTTGAAAATGATGGGAAGAGGATAGTCCTCAAGAAGAACACGGAAAGCCTTGCCAGTCTGCCCACACTCACACCTCTGCAGTCACAGCACTTGCCAACAGGTGATCTCCATCAACCCCTGCTAAAGGGCAACTATGCGTTTCCGCCTGACCCCCAACTCCTTGCCAGTCTATGCCAGCTGTGGCTTCACTGGCAGCTCTTGCCCACCAGCCCTCACAACCTCAAACCAGGCAGAGTTTTTCTGATGGTGCCCTGTGGCCATATCTCTGTGGGGAAGGCAAGTGGGCACTCACAGGCATGAAGTTGGCATTGATGTAGTCTGAGTGCGGATCCTCCCCAAGTTGGCTCAGCTTGACCCGAGAGTGATCATCTGAAAGAGACCGTACACATGTGACCCCCTCAAGGCAGCCCTTCACCAAGACATGGCCATCTCCTCTTCACATGGATAACACATCAGGAGAAGCCCCAGCAGCTCCATGTATGCAGCCAGCAGAGAGGCTCTGTGCTCAGCCAGACACCTTCTCCCTGGAGAGGTGAGCATTGCCTGCCAGCTGGGTTAGCAGGGGGCTAAGAAAGCAGAGCTGGTATCACAAGGCTCATCAGAGAAGCCGTGGGACATTCAAGATCCCCTTTTAGTCTCCAGCTGGGATCCATTCGTGAGCTGGGGTCACCGACCACCTGCCCACAGCCTCCTGGAGGAGCTGAGGATGGTGGGTCAGCCCTGGCTCAACCATTAAGCCCTGAGTTTCCAGCAGGAAAATAGAAACTGAGGCCCATTTCAAGACTCCTTCTTCTACCAGGAGAGGAGCAGGGCACTGTGAACCCTGCAGCAATGCAAAGTGAGCCCATCCCTGTGCATTGCAGTGTGAACTCCTACCCTGGATGCTGGGGAAGGAGGGAGGAGACAGCACTTACAGGGCAGCACATGGGGATATCTGTTCTTGGAGACATTCGCTGGCAACTCAGCCTCCACCTTTGGCTGCTCCTTCCCAACTTCCTTCAGCTCCTGTAGGACAGGGGAGAAGATAAGTACAAATGTCCCTTTGGAGACCTCCTGGCCAACCCAACTCCCTGCTCATGGTCAATGTCTTTGTCTGGTGGTTAAAGTCACCCATGCATAGGGACCTGCTCTACTCCTGCCTCAGTATGGCTTATGAACTCTGAGCCATAGGTGGCTTTTCCCAGTGCCTTTTCCAACAGCACTGTTTGTATCTAAAAGCAAACAAGCCCAAGAACAACTATTGGAGAAAAAACCCCACCTTCTCAGGAATCAGAAATCTACCAAGAAGCTCAAAGCATTTTGTGCTGAGAAAACAGAAACTTCTTGTGCTGTGAAAACAGAAATATCTTGTGCTGCTTCTGCCTCTCTCCTCACTCAGGAGGCCAGAGAAGGGTGATCTGAGGAGGGTTTCAAATCACTGATGGGACCTTCAAAGGTGCTGCCAGCAGAACAGTTCAGTGCCCGCAGATGCTAGCAGTGGGAGCCAGTGAAGGTGGCTTGAGGTGAATTTCACAGCCTGGCCCTATAGCTCTGAGAGTGCTCCTCAACCTTCCTTTTGGCTGCAGGCTCTTTTCTACCACTGTCAAGGTGGATCTCATTGCAACACCACTCAGCATCTTCACCTCCAGTCCAGGCCTGGGGTCCTCAGCAGCTATGGACAGTGCTAGTTCACCTCACGCCACAGCCAACATGTGTTTCTACCAGAACTTGAACAAAACAGGTTTTGAGCAAAGAAATAGCCTGATCACTTGGTCCATCCAATCTTTGGCCTCCAAGACTGCCTAGTAGGGTGGATTGCTAGAGAGATGGGTTACTGTCGCTGGAGATGAGGAGTCCATACAGGCCACCCAACAGCATGAGCTACCTAGAGGGGAAATTAAGTCTCACCTCTAGCAGGAGTCTCATCTCACCTCAAATTCCTGGAAAAAAGCGTGGTTAGCACTTGCCATCTTCATCTCATAGTACTGCTTGAAGTTCTGTATGGGAATTGGCCGATGGACGTTTCTGTATAAAATTAAGTCCAGAGGAAAACTTGCCTTAGCTATTGGGAGGTCTGGCAGGCCGTTCAGGTGCCAATGAGACAGCCCAGCCTTGAGACCTGCAGTACCTGGATGCACACACACAGGGATGGTTTATAGCCCACGTCATTGCCCAGGGAACTGGGTCCAACAGAGCATTGTTTAAATATTGAGAGGGATTTCAGGATTATGAGGATATTCTCCTACTGCAGAAGCCTTGCAGAGGATGTGTGGACAATGCATTGACTTGGAATGGAGCTGGGCAATAAATACTGAACACGGGAAAGCCTAAGATTTAAAAAACAACTGAAGGAGAGGAGACAGAGTTCAATTTTTCCTGAGTCAAAGCACGAGAAAGGAAGTAGGTGAAGGACCCTGGGACCTGCAATGAGAACATGCAGAGAGGGAAGACTCCAGCACTCACCTCAAGCTGTAGGTCACCATTTCCTGGGTCAGGCTGCTCTTCTTGGTTCTAGAATCAAAGCATGGGTGATATTACTTGTCCCTGCAGTGCAGGGACAGATGCTGTGAGCGTATTGCGTGCTGCTAGCTCCTGGAGCACTTGTGAGCAGACAGCTTACATCAGGCACACTGCCTCACACACGTGTAGAGCTCTGTCAATTAACTGCACACGGGCTGCTCCCCTCTCCCCTCTGCCTTTTGCTCCTGTGCTTGCCAGGCACAACTCCACTAGAAGGTATCCTAGTTTGCCTAAATCTCTTTTTATACCTTCTCACTGCTCTTCCTCCTGGCCTGGCACTGAAGGTTGGGTTTCTCAGCCTGCACCCACCAAGTAAGAGATGGCTCATCCTCACCTCTTTGCTCTGAGCTGTTTCCAGTAAACCAAACCAAAAATAGCTGCAAGTGTCAAGATAAATCCCACAATGATTCCAGCGATTATTGGCATTGAGAGCGGAGTTGCATCTGCACTGGATTCAGCAGCTGGAATAAAAAAATAAATAGAACAGAGAGAAGTAAGAGTCAGTAAATGGCTGCATCTAGTCTATCTGTTATATTTGCTACAGCCTATGATCTCCCTCTGGCTGGCCATTGTCAGGTTGTTAATTATCTCTAACCTACACAGCCAGGTAGGGAGGATGGCACTCTCCAACCTACCTGAGAACATGGTGAATGTCACTGCAGGGGCTACTGGGTCGTATTTGGTGAAGGCAGCGATGCTGAACCTAGGGCAAAGCAGAGTCCTGCCATCAGGGGCAATCTGAACTGAGCACAGCACACATGCAGCCAGCAGCAGGAAGACCCAAGGGAACAGGACAGCTGCCTCTGCTTTGAAATGCTGTATTGGAAGAAGCCATTTTTCTGGTAGAAAGTTAGGGAATGTGTGGAAAAGGTCTTGCCTCCCTTTTCTGCCCCTTGGACAAGTTTGTTGCATTTGGGAGAACAAGAGAAAATGTTCAGAAAGCCCAAATCAGAAATAGCTTTCCTCCAATGGGTTGTTTGCAGAGACAAAGGGTAAGTTTCTGCTCTCTTACAGGACATA